AAGTTAAAACGTTAGCTTTAGTCTGACCTTTGACCTGCTGTGCCTAAACTCACTCAATTTTCTCTATGAATGACGGCGATGCAGGACCACAAGAAAACCAGAACACAGGAGAAAAGGTCAACTGAGTCAGTGAGAGATTCATATTTTAAAAGGTTTCAGGTGTTTCCCATCACTCACCTCATGATCCAGCTGCTTCAAATCACTTTGAAAATGTCTTGACTTTGAAGCGTCCCAGCGTTTCTATCAGAGGTAATCCTGAAACGTCTCAACCTGAACTCAGAGACACGAAAACATGTTTGACTGCAGGAAGTCAGTCTGACTGAATGAGGCTCAGCAGGAGAAAACACCAGTTTAACCAGTCAGGGAGAGGCTGGAGTTTAGATTCTGTTTGGATTGTCAGAAATAGAAACTGAACCAGAACAACTGACGGGAAACTTTAACTCCAGGCTCTTATCTTCTAGTTCTCAGTGGCTAAATTACAAACTCATGTTTTACAGTTTCTCTTCTTCAGAATAGAAACTTAGCTCCAATAACAAACTGGACGATGACTCGCCTTTATGACCCTGAGGAGGGATCAGGAATGACGATGTTGGAATGATGTTCAGTCTCTCTTTGTCTGCAGCGTTTGGCTCCAGGGGATTTTTTCATGTCAAACAAATTCCTGATGTAAACATGCGACTCCTATGTAAAGATAAACAGTCTGCTAACCTTTTCCTTCACCCTTAGCGGGATCCTAGATGTGACGTAATTTGAGTGCAATTTTTCTGAGTATTCTGAAAAAACAAAAGCATCTCACCAGCAGGCAGTGGTGGGAAGGCACATTTCTAATGTGTAAAAATTAAATAAGATCGGTACACTTAATTATATTAGTGATCAGGTATTATTCAGCAAGTACTTTTACTTTTAATACTTAAGTATTTTTAAAAGCCAGTACTTTTTTACTTTTACTTAAGTAAAATGTTAATGTGGTACTTTTACTTTTACTTGAGTAAATTTTTTGAGTACTTTCTCCACCACTGCCAGCAGGGGGCGCCGGAGCAGCTAGAGCTAAAAGTCACTCTGGCATTTGCATAAAACATCAAGCAGTACAACTCTTAGAAACATAAGTGGCTAAAGATTTTACATGCTTATATGAAAATATGTTTTTTGTAAAAATTCAGACAAGTTAAATATGTTGTTTTTATTTATAGCATTAAACCATCAAAACATCAGATCCTCACTTTAGTTTCACTTTATTTGGTAAAGTTGGAGAGGAATTCACAGATTTGACATCTCATGTATTAGGGTTGCAATTCTTTATTTTACAACAATGTTGAACATATTCATCATTTATAATAATGTTCATTATTTACCATCTTTGTTCCAACAGGAAGAAGCAGCTTTTTTCCTGCTGTAGACAAACACAAAACGCCTCAGTTATCCTGCTAATGCTAAAGCGCTAAAAGAAAAATTAGCTTGCTATTAGGACATTACAAGTGGAAAGTCTTTCCCAAAATAAATGCTTTAGCATAGCTAATTGTTAATATCTCACAATAAAACTTCCTGATGATGTAATTCTGTGATTTGAATAAATAAATGTATGTATTTGATTTGATTTGGAGGCAGAAACATTCATAGTTTTGGATCCATCAGGTTCTTTCAAGGATTTTAACCACATTAAACAGTAACACATAGTCATCTGAAGCTAATAAATAAAATCACAAGTGAGATATAAAATGTTTCTGTTATTAAAATAAACCGTTACATTGTCTCTTTGCCTGTGAATCTGCTGGAGTTAAAGTTTCTTGAAGGGAGGATTCAGGATGAGCAGCATGCTTGGCGTGTTGTGCTGTACATAACAGAGCAAACCTTCATGTGGTTTATAAAGCTGATATTTACATCCCAATAATGTGATGCAACTGAAGCATTAAAACTAATCCTGACTGACTGATTCTGACGCTTGAATGTTCAGGTTTTCCAAAAACTCCTTAATTTCTTGGCACATTTCAGGGTCTGTGTTTCTCTTCAGGGTCTTCTCCAGCTCTCTGAGGCTCTTCTGTCGATACTTGGATGTTTCCTGGATCTCTGCTGCCTTCATGTGATACTCGATGGACCTGCACGTCTCATTTCCACTGAAGTATAAATGTTTGGCGTAGAAGTTGTACAGCATCTGTTTTCCTGCTGGATCCAGATCTTCTCTTTGTTCCAGCAGCTCTTTGTAAATCTGGCCAGCTTTCTCTTTGTCTCGCTTTGCCTGTAAGTCTGCTAGAGTTATTTTTTCTTGAAGGGAGGATTCAGGATAAGCAGCAACCACTTCCTCCCACAGACTGATTGCTTCTTTGATCCTTCTGGGATCAGGGTTGGTGCAATGAGATAAAATCTTACTGCTGTAGCATTTTGCAGCCGACCTTTTCACGTATCGGGAGTCAGGATGTCTCCTCAGAGCCTCCGTGGCTATTTCAACAGCTTCATTTACAGAGATGTGCTTTCTGTAGAGACTCAGTAGTGGATCGATCCCACAGTAGTTGTTCATCGGCCTCTCTAGGATCTTTTCAGCCAACTCTCTTGCTTCATGCTTAATTGAAGCAGCTTTGGCCTCTAGATAAAGAGCAGCAATGCATAAGTTACCTGGATCTCGTTCTTTGGCTGATCTCAGCTCTTCCAGCCGGTCAGCGAACAGTTTCTTTATTTTTTCATCTAGATTTTCTGCTGTCAGTATGGCGTAGCTGCTCTGCCACTCCACGATGTCTGGCTGCATCTGGATGGCTCTCTGGAAGAGCTC